GGAGCACCATACTGTCCACTAATTGACACTTTGAACATTTACTTTCATGGACATGTTCATTGACATTATATTTTGTGTTTTTCATGTGTGTTTTGACTTGATGCCCCACTTTTCTGGTGTAAAACAATATGTCATTTACTGGTGGTTTTAGGTGTTGTCATAGTTTCAACCTTTGAAAAAAATGACGAAAAAGACAAAGTACTGCTTTGAGGATGTTGTATTTTCATCTCTTGAAAAAGTGGCACATTTCCTTGTAATGGTCTTAGAAGGTGGTCATGTTTTCAAACTTTGAAAAAAAATGACAAAAAGACAAAGTTTCTGGAAAGTACTGCTTTGAGGATGTTGTATTTTCATCTCTTGAAAAAGTGGCCCATTTCCTTGTAATGGTTTTACTAATTGGTCATGTTTTCAACCTTTGAAAAAATGACAAAAAGACAAAGTTTCTGGAAAGTACTGCTTTGAGGATGTTGTATTTTCATCCTTTTCATTCCTTGCATTGGTGTTAGGAGTTTGCCCATTCTTGCCTTTTTTATGAGTTTTGCTTTTTATTTGATTAGAAAGAGTGGAAATTTATTTTGCTACTTTTATGAGTTCAACTATTTCAATGAGAAGTGAAAAGAAAACACAAGAAAAATGACAAGAAGAAAATAAGAGAAAAAGAAGTTCTCTCCAAATATTTGTCTGTGTGTGTTTTTCTATGTGTACTTGATTTTATTGGTTTCTAAATTTTACTTCAAATTGTTGGGAAATAAAGTTTGGGAAGGGAAATATCTTACACTATGGGAGGGAAAATGAACAAGTTGGGAAATAAAATATGAGAGTGGTGTGGGGGAGATATGTTTGGTAGATGGGAAAATATATAACAGAAAAAAATCCCAATAGCTTCAAAAAATAGCTAAAGTTACATGCAGCAGCGCCACGAAAAAGCTTCACTTTTAGACCCCATTTTTTACAGCATGATTCATTTGCCCGTCATTGCCCGCACTCATTGAAAAGTTGACAAAGCCCAGTGCACGTGCACAGCTTCCCATTCACTCACTGCATATTACACGCTGAGGTCTTGACCGTCAATCGCTCCGCATAGCAACACGGCAGCATAGCAACGCACTGGGCCAAGGCCCGGAATAAACGAGCCCTTATGTAACACACAAAATGGGGGCTCTATACAGAGCGGGCGGCGTGGCCGCAAAACCGAAGGGTCAATGGAGGTTGCTTGTGAGGGTTAGACTCTACGGGACACCCATTTTATGGGGTTTAGGCGTTCAGAAAAAAAGATATGAATTTTTGAAGATTTTTGAAAAACGAAAATATTAAAAAACTGCCCGGCAGTGCATGTAACAGTTAAAAAAAGCACCCGGCAGCAAGTGGTTAAGCTGACATTTAGCTGACTCACAAAGATTCATTTAAGACAAACTTGCTTCCCCGAGATGGAAGACCTTGTAAGCACCACTGTGAAACTTGAATGTGAGGACTGCCGGGAATGACCAGGGGATGAATGCGAACTGCACTTGAGTGTTACGACATATCTCTGATAGGTGATTTTCCCTTAGCTGCTTGCGAGCATTCCTGATGTTACTGGTTTCGTCATCGGAAATCGAAATATGTGATCCTTTGTATGGGTTGTTGCAGAGAGCCGATGAAGCCTGTTTCAAGATGTGTTGACGATCGGTGAAGCGTAGCAGTTTACAATAGATGTTATATGACCTTGCTTTCCTGGGGTTGTTTCCTTATTGCAATGGCGATTGGCATCCCGGGGTATGATGGGCCCGCTCGATCTCTATGCCATTGCCGTCTTCCAGCTTCATGTGAGTCAAGAAGAAATCGGCAAGAAAACCTTCACATGACTGATTGCCCTCCGATCCCTCAGGGATACCATGTATCACAATGTTATTTCTGCAGCATCTGTTTTGTAGATCGTCAAATTGATTTCAAGCTGACATGTGTAGGTGACTGCCATGGGTGAGATTGCTGATATGTGCCGTTGCCTTCTTGTGCTGTTTTCAGTGAAAGAACCTGCCGATTTCAGATCCTCTATCTCTTTGTCATGTTCAGTTACCTTGTTAGTAGTTTCTTGCAGTTTAATTTCCAGTGTGGTTAATCTGGACCCCATGCTTTCCAGTGATTCCTGGATCTTGTCCAGTTTTGATAGCAGAAATGTCTTTCTTGCACATACATGCATGACGGCCATCTTGTCTTTCGCCACTCGACGGTGACACGGAAGGCTCTGTTTTTGATGGTTAATTCCTCCGAGTTCAAGTAAATTTTGTTGATTCGGTTGACTCAGTCAGTTGACCAATGATGTTAGGAATCGCGATGAGTACTCAAAAATGACAGAATTTAGTGGTGCATTGGATTAATTTCGTTGACTTTTTTGGGAGCGCAAGATTTAGGCTGCGTCAGCTACGTCAGCACATGCTTACAATCATCTATCCAAGTCAGCATTTGTACTAAACACAGTGCACCAATTGCAAGATCTGATCATCCACTTTGGGGATCTGTATGGGACCTATGTGTGGATTGCTAGATTGTAGTATCCAGATTACACCTTGTTGCAGTTACTGGTTAGCATTCCCACTTTATGCTTGGTGGTTGAGTGGTTATGACGTGTGCACTAGTAAGCAGGAGGTTGTGTGTTTGAGTCCCACCCTAGTAAGCTTGCTATTTTTTTCGCAAGCTCTCGGACAAACATTGAGTATACTGCTATGCATATACGTCATTGTACATGTAACGGTAGAACCCGTAATTATTAAAATTAACGTCTCCCAATTGCAAAGTACACCTTGAAATAGTTTGTGGTACCCGCTGCTACATCTGACTCAGACCGGCCAGCTGATCCCGGCAAGCTCTGTGGCCGAGTGGTTGAGATGCTGCGCTGCTACAATCTGATGCTGCTAGTAAGCAGGAGATAATGGGTTGGATAAAGCTTGTGTGTTTTTTGCAAGCTCTCAGACAAACACTGACTACACAGTATTGCGCATTTGCGTCTGTGTAAGGGTAAACCTGTAATTGAAATTCCCACTTCAACCTACCAAAATTCAGAATATAATCTGACAATTTTGCAATCAAGAGAAAGATCCTGCAATAGTGCATGTAGGTCAAGTAGGAATGGGTTTTTAGAAAAGAACACAGTAGAATCCGGTTGTCGGGGTACTTGTGATAAGGACTCCATAATTTGGTTTTGTTTTGTGTTTTGTTTTCAGTAATTAAAGATGTACATGTGTATCATACAGGTTTAATGGGGCAATACATCTTCTCCTGTTCCCTCCCTGTACATAAGGTGTACGCTTTACTGTCAACCCTTCACTTCCTGCACTTCGTGTAAATTACAAATAGAATGCCAACCTCAGGGCTTAGAAAAGTGGTAACCCTGAAAACCATTTTCCCTCTCTCTGGGTTTCTATTTGAATCACACTCATGTCATACACTTTGTCTTTTGCTTTCATATTGAGGTGAGGCAGAGGGACATTACCTTCATCTCAGATTTCCTGGCAGAAAATTTCTCTGAAGAAATTGGTGTAAGTATAACCTGGAATACCCTAATTAAAGAATACAACAATAGTTAAGCCACCATAGTTTTGAAATTCTGATTTGGGGCAATTTCCTTTTATTTTCCTGAATATGCACAAAGTACTGTTCAATCATAGTACAGATGTGTTAGCAGTGAGACCATCTGTTACAACTCATCAGTGCTGTTGCAGGATTTATAATTCACATTATAATGAGACAACTGGGGGACATACATACATTCCCCAAATTATCTCAGGGTGATAGCAAACTTAAATCTAAAGTTGCTGCACATGTATGGCAGCAGTCTCTTGTCCACTCTTAGTTGGGACAAAGAGGTTGGCTGTCACCACGGAGTCTACTAATGATGCTTAGAGAAGTGTTTTCTTCAGGTAAACTACAAATCCCATTGACTTTGTGTTTTTCACGAGGAATTGGTTTCATGTGATTAGCAATTGATGTTATTTCAGAGTCTGTGTATATGTCATTTTATTCTCAGGTTGAGCCAGCAAGCTGTTTGTTCAGCTTTGACCTGAAAAAATGACTACTTTTTCTCACCAAGATTCAAGTTGTGTGCAAAATGATTATCTGTTGTCTCTTTTGTTTTTGGTTAAAATAAAAATTAGAAAACATTCTACAAACATCAGAGCGTGTCATGACTTGTGACTGCAAGTCATGGTCCCCATTTTAGGGTTTTCAGTGTTCTGTGCTGTTGGTGTACATGTACACTGTGTACAAACATACTTCTTACCAGGGTCCAAGAGTGCATCTTACACAAATAGCCTTTATCTCTGCATGTTTCCCTCACGCTGTCAGTCCATTTACTGAAGTTTGATCAACTGTATAGCACCCTCTATCTATCACAATGCATAATGGAACTGCACCATACAACCCCGCCGCCTGAACATCCAAGAGGGGAATTACTCATTAACCCTCTTTTCTTTCCCCCTCTTTTGTCTGCAGATTAACCCCCTTCCACTTGGGGTCCAGTTCCATCCTTTGTATTTTTTGTTTGATCTCTTCCCACCTTACATTCCTTTGTTGTTCAACCATGCCTTTCATGCACTCCCCTTTATCCTTTGCCTTTTATCCAGCCTGCAGCTTTCTTGACCTTTCCTTTTGTCCTCTTGCATTCATCTATGCTTGGTTGATTTTCTGTTTGCTTGTTTGTCCCGTCCACTTGTCATTTTGCCTTTGAGAAAGATTCTGTAGGGATCGAAACGTCAGGTTAAGATTTGTATTTAGGTCATTGTAGTCAGCAAGCAGTTTGCAGCAGTTTTGTATTACATATTAAAAATGTGACTCAAGTTGGACTCGAGTCCGACTCACAAGTCATACAAATCTGTTGCACAAATGACCAGGATACTTTGTTTTGAGAGCTGCATGGGCTATCTCCAGAGATAGAAAACATCTTCTTTTCAAACCTTTACTACATATATTATCAATGTCTCCTCCAGTTAGGTTTCTAATATTAATCCCATAAGGTTGTGTGTCCTCACCATTACCTACTACCAACTAACAGCAGCATGATAGGTTGCATTGGCTGATGCTATTGTTGGACTTGTCTACTGGTGAATACTTGTAAACCCACATAGCACTGCCAACCATCTCTCACTACGGCTCAGATGCAAGAGCTCTTACAGAAAAGAAGGTACATGTAGATTATGGGTATAGCTAATATCTGCATTGTTGTCGTTATAAGGTACACCACAGATCACAATTGAGCAAACTTGAGCAAATGGCCTAACGGCCCAAGGGAAATATGTGTAGATAGAGGCTCTAGTAGTCTTGCCCCACTCTGCTGTCTGCGGGGGAGGAGAGATCACACACTTGTTAAAATGTAGATCTTATGGGCACCGAAATTGTTAGACAATTTAGCATCCCCCACAATTCTGTCCTGACTTTCTTACGAAAGAAACTGTCCCCTTAACCACTTGCCTCAGGCGTTCCCAGTACGGTGTACCTTGGGTTTGTATGCATAGCCGGGGTATTCAAAATCAGACATAGGAGCTGGGCCGTGTAACAAAAGACCATACTTCGAAAAAAGACCGAGCTGCTGGGAATTGCATCATTTTTCAGTTAGCATTAGCGGGGGTAATCTGTCAGTTGGGAAACAGGATAGCACCGTTTGCTGCATTCAGCACCAGCAGATTATCAGCTGGGACAAAAGTGCTCCAGTACTCCAATGATGAACAATACAATCCTGCTGCATGCTAATCTGGCCACATTTGAAAATGTACCACGGCCATTCAGCAATGCACTGGGCCAATTTCGGGAACAAAGGAACTTATGCAGCACCTTCCAATTCTGGGCTCTCTTTGCTGGGCGGCAGGCCTGGTTGCAATACCCAGATGTCAATAGAGGTTGCCTATCAGATTAGAGTCGAACCAGACAGTCATTTGTGTGGGTGTAAGTGTTGAGTAAATGAAGTTAGGAATTTTTGAAGAAATTTGAAAACAGAAAATCTTGAAAATCGCCCGGGAACTTGTCCTGCATATGAATATTCCACCTGGCAGGAAGTGGTTAATGTGGCAAAGGCACCCACATTCTTGTGCCGTATACACTAATGCTTCAATCACCAGACATGTAAAATTTTACAAGTTGCTTGGTTCCTCCTTGTTCAGATTATCACATCAGTGTAGTCTAGATTTGCTGGACCAGGTATTGGAGTTGTGGACAGGTATGTCATACCTGTGTATGTACATGCCCACCCATACAAGTGGAAATATTTTCATTAGGCTGAAGTTTGGAAAAGTAAAAGTGACTTCTCAATCTGAATTTTACAAGAGGTGCAGGTGCATGTTTTGGGTATTTATAGATCTATAACTGTGCCGAATCTGCAGGTGAAAACAATTATTGACTGCCTGTTCAGTAACACCACATCAGTGCTGTGTACGTCACAAGTTAAAAGGCTCAAACTTTTATGTACAAAAATACCACCATAACTCGAACAATGCCCACACCATTACATCCACTTAATTTGAAGTTTCTGATTAAAAAAACCACCACCAAAATGCTTCAAATGGCGTTGAAAGTATCGGAACTCTATAAAGGGTTAGGAGTCATCGCAAGGTCATTTCTTTTCTGACGAGGACCAGCAAATAGTGTAATCCTGGCTTTCAAAACACTGAAACTAATCTGATTGCAACGCGGGCCCGATTGTAGTCCCCTTCAGGCAGTCCAATCGCTGACACTGCAGCCGCCATGTGACCATAAAAAGAAAGGTCATGTGACCACACATAAGGGAAGCCCACGTGAAAAAAATAGCAGTGCTTCACGTTGTTTAATGACTAAGCGATACGAAAGTTTTGCCACACGAAGGTACGTACCACGATGAAGTGGTTTAGTTTAATAAATACTTTTTCAGGATAACTCCATTCCCCTGAGGTTCAAATTGTCAAGATTTTAATGTATAAGTACTTCGACAAGTGACATTTGATTGGCCGAATGTATTATGACTTGCACCTGTCAACATTTCCTTTTTTTCGAATGAAAAAATACTTGGATTTGAAATGCTTTAGTACATACAGAAAACATCATTCCTGCTTTTTTGGTCAATTCCTCATTTACAGTTCCGCTGAATCACTGAGGAAATTCAAGTTGCTTTAATTTAAAAATAATTTGAAACGGAATATTTCTTGGTATAACACTTAACTAAACTGGTTCTCTGACTCTTTGGGTTTGTAGCGCACATTTAGTGCTTTGATTATAAAAAGAGGCCGATCAACCGCACAATTTGTGCGTGATCACTACTTACCACACGCCGTGTGGAGTCCCAGTACCGCTGGAATATTACACTCTCGCTTCGTCATCAATTCCGACATAAAGTAATTTTCATTAATATTGTTTTTTTTTCACAAAAACACTCTTAATTCAAACAGTAAGCACTACTTTTTCCGCACAAAAGTCATTTAGGCCGACAGGGTTTGATAGTTACAAATACAGTCGTGCAAGTGTACATCAACAGCGCTTCCCCCTCATAAGAAAAAATTCCTTCGGTCTCTTGTTCATATAGGTTTGGTACAATCATTTTCCTAGTTCTGAATCGCGAAAATTATTCAGTAAGACTGCAGCCAAAAAATCCTCAAATTCGAGTGAAATATGGTCAGAAGTCAACTTTGTGTTTTGGATATACTTCAATTTTTTTTTCAAAATCTAAGCTTTTATATTTGGACTCACAGGATCAATTGACGAAAGTGACGATGACACCTTTCCTAGTTCTGGATTGGTTTAGGATCGAGACAAAAACGTCTTCACAAATAAAAAGTAACCATACGAAAAATCCATTTACAGTCCAAACCATTGTAAAAAGTTGCTTTTCTAATAGA